TAAATGTGACTACACTGCACACCACCAAACCCTCTAGTTTGTGTATTTAGTTAAAGATCCCGCTAGCTGCTTAAACTCCTGATCTCTGGACGCATCCACACCTTGACCTCCAAAGTGCTGGGATTACAGGCATAAAGCCACCATGCCCAGCCAGTACAACATCTGATATATAGGTTCAGATGCCTTCATTCTCCTTGGGGTCAATATGTAGAAGCTGGGATGTTTGCATCATTTAAATAATTGTGTATGTCGAACATTTACAAAACTCCCAAGTATTCGTCTACACACCAACAACAGACAAGCAGAGAGCCAAAATAATGCGATGAACTCCCATTCACACTTGCTACGCAAAGGAGGGAAACAAACATTACCTTAGGAATGCAAGTCCTGCAAGGGACATGAAGGTACCCCCTTCAAGGGATAACTACAAGAATCACTGTGCTCCAAGGAAATCAAGAGGAAGACACACACAAGTGCGAAAAACATTCCATCCTCATGAATAGGAAGAATCAATATAGTGAAAATGGCCATAATGCCCAAATTAATGTATAGATTCAATCCTATTCCCATCAAGCTACCATTGACATTCTTCACAGAATTAGAAAAAAAAAAAAAACTGCTTTAAATTTCATAAGGAACCCAAAAAGAGCCCATATAGTGAAGACAATCCTAAGCAATTAGAACAAAGCTGGAGGCATCACGCTACCTGACTTCAAACTATACTACAAGACTACAGTAACCAAACAGTAGCTACTGGTACCAGACAGACAAATAGATCAATAGAACAGAACAGAGACCTCAGAATTAACACCACACATCTACAACCATCTGATTGTCAACAAATCTGATAAAAACAAGCAATGGGGAAAGGATTCCCTGTTTAATAAATGGTAAACTGGCTAGCTATATGCAGAAAACTGAAATTGGACCCCTTCCTTACATCTTATACAAAAATTAACTCAAGATAGATTAAAGACTTAAATGTAAAACCCCAAACCATAAAAACCCTAGAAGAAAATCTAGGCAATACCATTCCGGACATAGGCATAGGCAAAGACTTCATGATGAAAACACCGAAAGCAATTGCAACAAAAGCTAAAATTGACAAATGGGATCTAATTAAACTAAAGAGCTTCTGCACAGCAAAAGAAATTAGCATCATAGTGAACAGGCAATCTACAGAAAGGGAGAAATTTTTTGCAATCTACCCATCTGACAAAGGTCTAATATCCAGAGTCTACAAGGAACTTAAACAAATTTACAAGAAAAAAACCAAACAACCCCATCAAAAAGTGGATGAAGAATATGAACAGACACTTCTCAAAAGAAGACATTTATGTGGCCAACAAACATATGGAAAAAAGCTCATTGTTACTGATCACTAGAGAAATGCAAATCAAAACCACTATGACGTACCATCTCATGCCAGTCAGAATGGTGATTATTAAACAGTTAAGAAACAACAGATGCTGGTGAGGCTGTGGAGAAATAGGAATGCTTTTACAGTGTTGGTGGGAATGTAAATTAGTTCAACCATTGTGGAAGACAGTGTGGTGATTCCTCGAGGATCTAGAACCACAAATACCATTTGATCCAGCAATCCCATTACTGGGTATATACCCAAAGGAATATAAATAATTCTACTATAAAGACACATGCACTCGTATGTTTATTGCAGCACTATTTACAATAGCAAAGGCATAGAACCAACCCAAATGCCCATCAATGACAGACTGGATAAACAAAATGTAGTACACATACACTATGGAATACTATGCAGCCATAAAAAAGAATGAGTTCACGTCCTTTGCAGGGACATGGATGAAGTTGGAAGCCATCATCCTCAGCAAACTAACACAGGAACAGAAAACCAAACATCACATGTTCTAATTCCTAAGTGGGAGTTGAACAATGAGACTACATGGACACAGGGAGGGGAACAACACACACCAGGGGTGGGGGGCAAGGGGACAGAGACAATTAGAACAAACACCTAATGCATGTGGGGCTTAAAATCTAAATGATGGGTTGATGTGTGCAGCAAACCGCCATAGCCCAAGTATACCTACGTAACAAACCTGCACATTCTGCACATGTATCCCGGAACTTAAAGTAAAATAAAATAAGTTAATTAATTAAAAAGAAAAGCAAATTGAGGAAATGTGCATTAAGGAAATACAGAAGAAGTATTACTACTACACTCATATTAAATTGGCTAAAATTAAGAGACTGATTATATCTAGTGTTGGCAAAGAAGGGGAGGAATTGGGACACTCATATATACTGCTGGTAGGATGCAGTACAACCTCTTTGGAATACAATTTGGGATCCTCACTCCTTCTATTTCCATCTAACTGCACTGCCAGGACTGCAGCCATGCCTCCATCCTCTGTGCCCTGGATCACAGCCTGGTCCCTGGTGCCCCAGCTTCTTCTGACGCCTTGTCCCAGTCCATCTCCCATGAGAGGTAGTATGAAATATGTTTAAAGTAAATCAGATTATGCCACTCCACTTCTTAAACCTCTTCAAAGATCTAAAACTTTTCTACCCTGGCTCACAAGACCCTATATGATCTGGCCTGTGTCTAGCCCCTCCTCTCAAGTAAATCAATTTCAACTGGCCCCTTGTTCACTATAGTCTGGGTTCCCTGTGCTGACTTCCTATGCTTTAACATGCCACATTCACTCCAGACAGGGAGACTTCCTGTCATTACTCTCACTGCCTGGGAGTTTGCTCTTGGTTTTTGTCATTGCTTTTTTCTCCAGAGACTTTAATTTTTAGAGCAGTTTTACTTTCACAGCAAAATCAAGCAGAAAGGACAGAGTTCTCATACACCACCTGCCCCCATGCATGCACAGCCTCCTCCACTATCAACACCACACTCGTAGTGGTATGTCTGTTATAACTGATGAGTTTATACTGACACATTGTTGTGTGTCACACCAAAGTTCATAGTTTACCTTGGGGTTCACTCAGTGTTGGACATTTTAGGAATTTTGACAAATGTATGACATGTATCCACCCCTACTATATATAGAATACTTTCACTGCCCTAAAAATCCTTCTGCCTATTCATCACTCCCTCCCCATCTCAAACCAAGGAAATCACTTTTTTTAATGTCTCTATCACTTTCGCTTTTCTAGAATGCCATATAGTTGGAATGATACAGCATATAGCCTTTTTCAGGTTGGCTTCTTTCCCTTAGTAACGTTCATTTAAGGTTTCCCCATGACTTTTCATGACTTGAGAGCTCATTTATTTTTTTGGAACTGAATAATATTCTACGGTCTGTGATATGGTTTGAATGTGTCCCCACCCAAACCTCATCTTGAATTGTAGCTCACATAATCCCCATGTGTTGTGGGAAGGACCCAGCGGGAGATAATTGAATCATGGGGGCGATTACCCCCATGTTGCTGTTCTCATGATTGTGAGTTCAGACAAGATCTGATAGTTTTATAAGGAGCTTTCCCCCTATTTGTTCCACACTTCTCTTTCCTACCACCATGTGAAGAAGGGCATGTTTGCTTCCCCCTTCCTCCATTGTTGTAAGTTTCCTGAGGCCTCCCCAGTCCTGTGGAACTGTGAGTCAATTAAACCTCTTTCCTTTATAAATTACTCAGTCTTGGGCAGTTCTTTACAGCAATGTGAGAATAGACTAATACAGTCTGTATGCATCACAGTTGATTTATCCATTCACCTACTAAAGGAATATCTTGGTTTCTTACGTTTTGACAATTCTGAAAAAAGCTGCTTAAATACTCATGTGCAGGATTGTATGTGATGTTAAGTTTCAGCTCATCTGGGTAAAGACCAAGGAGCACGATTGCTGCAGCTCTTGGTTTTAACCTCGCTGGGTTATACTTTTATCCGGATATCAGCTGTTTAACACATTAATTTATTAATTCACTCAGCTCACTGATTCAGCAATCATTTCTTGGTAACTGATGTGTAGGTGACATGGTCTGGGTGTTGGGGACATGACAGTAAGTAGAGTGGGTTCTGCCCACTGGGACAGATGTCAGGGCACAAGCACTGGGGAGGATGACGCACACAGTGAGAGGTGCTGGGAGTCGCACATGTGCTGACTATGTCTGGCTGACCCTGTGACAGGGTGTGGGAGTGAAGAGGAGTCGGACAGCCTCCCCAGTTTTCAGCCCTAGCAAGTGGGAGAACAGGGGCACATGCAGGCAGTGTGCTGCAGGGAGATGCTCCTCACAGGACCCAGGAGAGAACCAACTGCCAGGGATGGCAGTGACCATGATGGCTGTGGTGGGACAGGCAGACAGCCATCTTACCAATGAAACTCATGCTGCTTATATGTAGGGAGGAGACAAAGGGTAAAAAAGGGAAGGACCAAGAATGATACCAAAAAACCCAAAAAAGTTTGATATTCAAAACACTCTCAAGGACACTTCCCAGAGAAACTGGACTTGAATTAACCTTGGAGAACTGGTTGGATTTACTGCCTGGGATGGCCAGGGGGTGCCACCTGCATGCCAAGCCGAGTGACTGTCATCTTCTGCCACTGGTGCTGTGTGGATACAGTTCAAAGGGAGGACTTTTCAGCTGTGGATATCCGGCTACAGTTCTTTGAATGGCGGATAGAACAGCAAAGTTTTATTTCTGGCTGCTCCCTTTGCCTCAGCCTTGCTTTCCTCCCAGCTCCCACTGAACTGCCTGCCGTACCCAGTACGAGAACCCCTGCTCTTCCCAGTGCTGGTGAGCATGCAGCTCAGTCACCCCAACCCATCTCCTGGAGCTGTCCCACGGTTCCCTCGGAACCACTCTAGGGCACGTAGTGTCTGACTCTGAGTGCTCCACTTCATGGGGCACTGCTTAAAACAAACGCTCTGGAACACAGCACCATTGAGAGGCAACTGTTGATTTAATTTATTAGCATATGCATCCCCTGAAATGGCTACTAGGTGAGGTCTAGAAACCAAGGAGACCCCTCACCGGCCTCAGGTGAAGGGGAAACCTGCCCCTCCCTTTCCCATTCCTCCTGGGAGGTGGGACATGCCCCTGCCCACTGCTCCACAGAGAATCCCCTCCTCAACACATGTGGTCACCTCTGAGCACCTGCCTTCTTCTTCCTCTGATCCCGGAAGCTACAGGAAGCTTCTCATGTGACCAACTGTTACAGCTACCAGGTGTTCTCAAATCTGAACTGTTACAGCTGCCAGGTGTTCTCAAATCTGAACTGTTACAGCTGCCAGGTGTTCTCAGATCTGAACTGTTACAGCTGCCAGGTGTTCTCAGATCTGAACTGTTACAGCTGCCAGGTGTTCACAAACCCGCAAGGCAGAGCGGGCTTGTCTTCCTTTACAGGGGGTGACTGCGGCGTGAAAGTTGTGAAAGTCCTTTCAAATATTGCTTTACCTTTTTTTTTTTTTTACATTTCTCAATCCACTTTCTCAGGTTGAAGAAAATTTTGCTTTAATAATTGTATCAGTTTTGCATTCTATTTCAAACTAATTGTTTCAAAACTAAGTTGTTTTTGTACGGTTTCTAAGTAAAATCAGTGTTTCAGGAAGAAGCAACATGTTTACCCTCTGGCTTCGAATCACTTTGAGGGTAAGTGCGGAGGCTGTGAGCAAATTGCCGATGTCTGGGGACAAGTCGAAACCCCACTACTATAACCTGGAATATTGAGAAAAACTGGAGCAAAGACAGCTTAGGACTACGCCTGGTGGAATGTGTGTGGGTGGATACTAAGGTGGTTCCTACAAGATGCCTTCCCCGCCAGGATAACCCAGAGGATGGCCTTTCCCTTTGGCAAGAAGGTTTGGTTATGTCCTAATAGTGATGGAAATTCTATTTATGTGGAAAACACACAGGGAAAGACAGACATCTTGTGGGTATATGGTAGCATTACATCACAGGCCTGGAAATTAATACCTAATAATCAGATCATATCATTGAATAACACACTGTCAGTCACAAACAATTCCATCAAACATCTCTCCAGCTTTTAAAAGAAAAAATGAACATATAGTTCATTTTTCTTATGGTTAAATGCATCAAATAAAAGCATAGCCTTGAACTTCCAAAGAACAGATAGCTTTCCATTTCGAGTTCTCCCTGGTTTCTAGACCATATCTATTAGCCATTTCAGCAGAGATATATGTTAATAAACTAAATCAACAGTTACCTCGCAATGATGCTAATTCCAGAGCTTTTGTTTTAAGCAGATACCAAGTATCTGAGAGGTAATGAATGTGCGGGGTAAGAATTGAGACTTTTTGAGTTGGATCCTCTGAACAGCTGGCTGGATTCGACAGGCACAGGGAATCCCAAGACCAGAGTCTGGAATGCAGACATTCCTCTGGGTCTTAGGGTTTCTCTGGCAGAAAAACAACAAGTTTATCTTGGAAGTTGGACAGGAAAAATGCTTTTAAAGAAAAAGCAAACCATCTTTTTGCTATGAGTAAGCTGAAGATATATTTATCTCCTTTCCAAAAATGGATATCATCATCAATAAATTATTGATAACTACTCTTTCTTTGTCTGGTGAATCCTATAGGGTTCCCATCCTTGTCACTTTCACTTAAATTACAGTTGTTTTTCTGTAAGGAAACACCAGGACAAATAGGTCATTTGCTTAAGAATTTAAAGACAGATGTGTGGTTCCAAAGCCATCATTCACCACTTGCTGCAGTATAGACATTTGCTTGTTTCCATCATGATGAAAAAACAGGTGTGGCCCATCATGCAGGAAAGAGAAGAAATGTAATTCTGACCATTCCTCAATTAGCGGCCTACTAAATTTTCATTATGACCAATAATCACCCTGTTTTTGTACAACCTGCATGCTAAGAATGACTTTTACATTTTTAAGTTTCTTAAATAAACAGAAGATGACAAATAGGTGGCACAGACCTGGGTGGCACAGACCTGGGTGACTTACAAAGCCTAAAATATTTACCATGTGGCTCTTCAGAGTCTGCCTATCCCTGCATTACATAAACAAGACTTGTTTTCATTAGATGTCTTGAGAACTGGCTTTGAGAAAGGCAGGAGAAAATACACTTTTATTAACATTTTTGAAGGGAAATATTTGTTACTTCTTACCTTCAATTATTTGCGGTAAATTTGATTCCTTCTGACATTCATTTGATATCTACTATGCAGCACTTTGCAGCATTTAAAGGGAAGACTCATCTCTAAGACATAAAAATCACTCTCATCCAACTCAAAATGTGGTGTTACTAAAAATTACTCCGTGCTAAAGGGCAAAAAAAGGTTGGAGATCCTTGGGGTTGTGGAGGTAAACCATGGAAACTGGAAGAGCAGGTAGGCTTTGCACACCTAGAGCTGGAAGGAAGTGTGTTCCAGGTGAGGGAAAACACTCGCAAGGGTGCACGGACAGGGAGGCAGCAGTGAGAATTCCAAGGGCCCCTAATCGTAAAAGTGCATCATGGCTGTGGGTGGATGGTGTAGAGGGAGAGAGAGCTGGTGTCTTCTCCAGTAAGGTACTTTGGAAAAACACTCATTTAAGTAACCGTACATAAAAGCGAAGTAATGGTGAAGATAAATTTGTCTGGAATCAGACGCTAGCACCAGAACGATCATGATCCCTACAGGTCTCTCTCTAATACCTGCAGCCCCTTTCCTTAATGGGTCACATGGTCTGTCTTCCATTGTATAGCTGCGTCCCGCTGTGGATCTGCTCACTTCCCTCTTCTTTTTTAACCTTACCCTTGTTTTCTGCCTACCTGTCTCTGAGAAAAGCTGAGACTTCTATCACGGGCAGGTCCTCAGTTAGGTACACGCCTTTCTTGCTCGGGTGTCAACGACAGGAAACCTAACTATCGCTGGATGTCTGCTTCCGCCACTCCGTCACTCCACAGCAGGTGGTATCCAGAGTGTGTAAGCAAGGTCAGGGGTGCTAAATTTGGAGAAGAGAAAAATGCAGGCTGCTTTTTTTGGAAGGGGTATTTTCAGTTGCAATTTCCATACTGAAGAGATAGAAATTGGCTGGTAAGGTCTAGACAGTAACTTAACTAAACATGCACTCCTCCTCTTGAATTTGGACTTTATAAGGAATTTGGATTTTATAACCACACGATGGAGGTTGCGAGAGGCTTCTCAACAAGGTACTGATGGTGACAAGCTGTGAATACTAAAAAGACAACTCTGAAAAACCTCGGTTCAAACGAGATCTGAATTTACCCACTAACTATGGCCACGAGGAGTTTATTCCTTTTTCTTTCCATTTTCCCTCTCTCCCAAGAGGTGTCAAAAACAGGATTTGGAGGTGGCAGGATAATGGCCAAATGGGTGGACAGGGTGGCGAAGGATTCAACCAGGCTCTGGGCTTGGCGCATGGTGGGCGGTGGCGCCCACAGCTGGGCCTGGGAACCCGCCGCTCGGGCATTAGGGGCTGCCGCGGCGACCGGCAAGGACACGTAACCGAAGAGCGAGAGGTCGGAAGACAAGGGGACTGTTACAGGAGGACAGCCGCCACTGGCTGCCAAGGCCATGCAACTGGCGCCGAAGCGCACTGGTAAAGTGCACGATCTCCGCCCGCCCCGCAGCAGGTCGGGAACTGTAGTCCCTCCCTCTCCTGCTCCCTGGCCCAGGACAGGCCCCGGGACAGCGCCTGTCCCTCTAGTTGTAAATCACGCACTTTCCTGTCCTGGACGCGGGGTCCTCCCACTTCTCAGGCGCCTAGAGCTTACGTCACGGGCGGGTCACCGCCCACATAGCGGAGGCCTTTAGGTGTCTATGGAAAACCTGTCGTACAGCAAGCTGGCAATAAAGGATCGACCCTTAACAGTGGAAGGAATGCACCTTCGATCCCTCCACTCCTCTTGGCTGCTCCTCTGCAGGGGTTTCCCCCGCCGCGTCGCACAGCTCCTCTCCCGGTGTTGCTCAGGCAGCGCCTTAGGCAGTCCCGCGCCCTATGGAGGGGCGGGGCGAGCCAGGGCGGGGCGGGGCCCTGACTGGACTGCGTCGCGCTCGGGGGCCGCGCCGGGTAGCGTTTCTTTTTAGTGCCTGAGGCAGCTCTGGCTCGGAGAGCCTTTCGCTAGCCCCACGGGGACCTCTGTGCACGGATGGACCCGCCCGGACCTGGCGGGAAGCGGCCTGGCAGGCGGCGGCCTCGGCGGCATCAGCAGAGACAGGACGGGGCCGACGCCGCGGGCCCCTGAGGCGTGCGTGCCCACCGGGCCCGGCGGCGGCACCATGATGCCGGGCGAGACCCATTCGGCGGCGCCCGGGACGGCGGCGGACCTGTCGCGATGTCAGGGCTGCGCCTCTCTGCAGCAGGTGTGGCACCTCCCGGGGCCGCGGGCGCGTGGGGCGAATGGGCCCGGCCGGCCTGGAGCGCAGGGATGTGGGGTCCGGCCGCGCGGACTGTGCCTCAGTGCGCTGCTCTCTCTTCCCGACCCAAGCTCATGCTCACTCGTCTCCCTGCTGCCTTTTTCCTACATGAGTTTTGGGGACGGCTTCCATTGCGTTCTTTAGGATTGAAACCCAGAGTTCATTGACTGGAATGCGCTGGTGTAACGGTGGGGGTGGAGCGAGCGAGTTCTGGAGGGCCCCCACCTTCCCTGCCCGGCCTCAGCGCGGCCTGGGGCTGACTCCCTAGGTCAGTGAGGGACAGGTGAAACGCCGAGGGCAATCATCTCCCTGAGGATAACGCTTTGGTCTTCTGGCCCATCTTGAGTGTTTGTTGTTTGGAGGCAGAATCTTACGTGACATGTGGGTTGTCTGAGTCATTAGACTCGAAGAGTCCAGGGAGGCATTTCAGCTTATATCAGATGTGCCATCCTGAGGCTAATATTTTAAAAAGCAAGCCAAGTAATTGGCCAAGTAGCTTGTCAGTTGTTTGATAAAAGTAGTTTATTAAAGGCATGCAGAGCCTGGAAGTTTCTAACAGCGGCGTGGGCTCTTCTTTATAGTAACATAAGGGAGAATTGCTGGAGTATGGCTCCAGATCTTATGGGGTGGTGCTAGGGAAATAGTCCCCCTCATTTCCCACGACTCTCCTAGCTGCCTGATGTCGGGGGTCTCTTTTAACTTCCTACTATCGCGGTTTCAGTGATAAAACGGAACTCACCAGCACCTCATCACCTACTCTGCCTAGTGTTCTAGGAACTACAGACATTGTGGTGAACAAAATAGGATCTCTCATAAGTAATATGCGTGTGTGTGAATAAGGCCTTAGAAGATTTTACGTGTTAGAAAATAAAGGAGGATGTTGGAATATTGGTCTTGTCTCTCAGCTAGGGTGGTCTTGTCTCTCAGCTAGGGTAGTCAGGGTATTTTTGAGTCAGTAACTTTTAGATATTTGAATAATGAGAAGGATCAGGCTGTCAGAAGAGATGTGGGAAGAGCTTTCTGGATAGAGGGATTAAGAGGTGGAAAGGTTCCTGTGGTGAGAAAGAGCAGAGTGTCTTTGATGAGCAGAACATGGTATGGTTGGCATGAGCACAGTGCTGACGGAAGATGGTTGATGTGACCAGAAGGGAGTGCAGGCTTAGGCCATGCCGAGAAACTTGGTTTCCATTTAAAGTGCTGTATCTGTGAACTGATTGCAAACATTTTAAGTGTTGAGGGGAGGGAAGGAAGGAAATGTGCTGCTTTTGTGAGTAGAAGGAGAACTAATAGTAAGATCATTGCCTTCACTGAGCTGCATTGTGTAGGTATCTTATAACGTGCCCCCCCCCCCCACCCCAGGAACGTGATTGCAGTTCTCCCGAATCTTTAATACATTGTATTTATTATTTGAGCCAATTCACTCAACAAATATTTATTGATCACCTGCTGTATTTTAGACACTGCAATTATGGCATTGGGGGAGAAAAAGACAAAAATTCTTGATCTCTTGGAGCTTCCATTTTAGCAGGGTGGCAGGATAAATGAAACAAATGAGTTATGTTAGAGGGTAAGGAAAACGTTGTTGATGAATTGAACGGAGATGGGGAGGGAATGAATGGGTAGGGACTAGGCCAGTGGCTGTTGGAATTTAAGTAGGGAGTCCTGGAACGTTTATATTGGAGCAAAGCTGAGAGAATAAGCTCTGTTGAAATCTTGAAAGTAAAGTCTCCCATACAGTGGAAACATCAGATGTGAAGAATTGTAGCAGGAGCTGGCTTGGTGTGCTTGGGAAGAGCCAGAAAGCCAGTGAAGCTGGAGCGGAGTGGATGCTGGGAGTCAGGAAGGTAGGAGGAGGGCCTGATTGTGTGGGCTCCTGTAGACCATTGTTGGGGTTTGGGTTTCTCTGATGGAAATGGTGAGTCATTGGAGGCTTTTGTGCAGAAGAACTACTGATGTGAATTGTGCTTTTCGGTCATGGATCTGTTCTGGTTAAATTTAGCAACTGTATCCTTCTGGTTGCTTAGGCCAGAAACTAGATGACATCCTTGGTGCAGCTCTTTTTTCTCACAACCTGTATCCAGTTTATCAGATTCTGTCTGCTCTACCTTCATAATTCACGCGCTTTTTGACATCTCCACTGCTTCCACCGTGGTGTGAACTACTCAAATCTATGGCCTCGAGATTGAATCTCCTTTCTTCCACCCTTGCCACATTCCCGCTGTGGGTTCTCAAGACATCAGTAAGGGTAATCCTAGATCCAGGGGTCTGCAGACTTTTTCTGTAAGGGGCAAGATCACAAGTATTTAGGCTTTGGGGGCTTGTTCAGAACTGCTCAGCGCTGCCATTTTCATGTGAAAGCATCTGTAGACAATTCATAAAGAAATGAGTATGCCTGTGTTCCATTGAAACTTTGTAAACGCTGGCGTAGGGCCTTAGTTTACAGAGCTCTTCTCTAGGTCAGAACACTTGCATTTGGATTTTCTGCGGCCTGGAATTGGATCACCTTTTTAGGGGAAAGTTATGAGTGGAGTCTCTGGAGGAATTCTGTAGTTGTGCAAAGTGAGTCTAGAAAACTAGGTTTCTGGCAGTTTATAGAGAACCTTGAATGGTAACTATCATAAATTATCGTACTTATTTCTGTCAGTATTATGGGATGGTGAAGGTTTTTGCATAGTTACATTAGGACAGTGCTTGTAGTAGAAGTAACAGTTAGTGGTATGCAGGATGGATTGAGGGGTTGCTACTAGGTATGATTTTGGTGTTGTGACTATGTTTTGAACTGTAATGTTAGGCTAACTTGCCTCTGTCTTGAATAGTGGTTTGCTTGCACTGAAAATCTTCCTTTCATTTCTTAATCCTCCCTGTCCTTTTTTTCTTTAGTTGTTGAAGAAATAACAGTACATTTGCAGAGATCATTATTTGATTCAGAAGTGTACAGATAGACTGCGTTTTCTGTTTCTTTTGTTCGTAGTCTCACAAATTACTTCATATCTGTTTTGTTACTCTCATTAATTACAGTAGTTCATTGCTGATCCATAGCCCAGTGCCCACGTGGGTTGCAGAACTTTGGCAGTCAGATAATGTGGGTCCTCGCTCTGGTCATATTTTGTATTTCGTATGATTAAGTAAATCTTAAGTTGTGTATTTTAGTCAAGCTAGTGAAGCTGACATGGGCACTTTATTCTGGTGAAGGAGAGGCCCGTATCTGCTGACTTCACTGCAGTACAAAACCGTCGGATTCTCCTGGGGATCCAGATGAGAGTTTGAAACACGATTATGTTGTTCATCTTATGTATATAGATTAGATTCAGTGAGTTTGGTGTATGGTTGTCCTTGGTACAGATTTGAGCCTATCCATAAACTTGTGCTGGACTCCCACTGATAATTGCTAGTGATTTAAGTGTCGTTTGGAACTTGAAACATTTTATTCCAGACCTATTGATTTATAAATGGCTCTGGTACAGGGAATGCTCACAAAATTGTAATTCATTCATTTACCAAACACGTTTATTGAGCGTCGATGTATATGTGATGCTATGCTGTGTTTCAGAATATAATCATGAACAGAAGAGGCATGGAGCTCATTCTAGTTGAGGTTACAGTTAAGTAGAAAAGCAACCACAGTTTATGTGTAATATAAATATTATGGTAAGGGATATATGAGGTACTCTGGGAGCATGTAGCAGGGATAGCCGTATAGGAATTGTGCCACCTCTCTGAAGGCTTCATAAAAGTGAATCTGAATTGAGGTCCGAAAGATGGTTTGCAGTTAACTGAGAGGGAAAAGATGGAGGGAGAGTGTTGTAGACAGAACAGGTTGTGCCGAGGCTTGGAGGGGAGAAAGTAGTTGATGATAGATGAAGCACAGAGTAGAGGTGGGGATAACTGAGGTGGGGCTGGAGAGACTGGGGTTTGCCTTCCCAGCACCCAGAAGCCACTCTGCTTGGATTTGGTGGGTGGGTGTGGTTGGGGCACAGTTAGAGAGAGGTGGACATTCCTGCCTTGTCGCCCTGTTCCAGTCCACACTGTGCCAGAGGTACTAACTGGTGAGAAGACGCAGTCATCTCTGCTAGAGATCAGTGTAGGCTTTGATTTTAAATAAGAGCAGTTAATAAACAGCAAGCACACCAGGAAGAAGTGGTTTATCAGAGAGGAGGCATGCTGAGTAATTAGCCAGATCTCTTCCAGCAAAACAGTAAGTGTGAGTAGTGTGATTTTAAAAAATAATTTATTTTGAAATAATTTCAGACTTACAAGAAAGTTGCCAGAATGATACAAATCACCCTGATGTTCTCAAATTCACAAATTGTTAACATGTTACTGCATTTGCGTCATCATTGTGTGCACACATACACTTTGTCTCCCGTACATGCTCCAAGGTATACTTCCTCCAAA